TTGGCCTCCTTCCCATTCCCTTTTCCCTGCCCTGCTCCCCTTTTCCCTCTAACAAGCCTTGGACACTCTCAAAAGAGAACTGTCATCTTGGACCTCGGGCCTGGGCTGTCCTCCCAGAGTAATTCTGGGAAACTCTGAGACATTAAAAAACAAAGCCCAGAGATTTATAGCATGAAACAGTTTCACAGCCTGGATTTGCTGGAGCAGGGGAAGAAAAAAAACAAAGTAAATATCCCTTAGCTGAAAATCTAAAGTAAGGGTCCTAACCCCAGGGATCCTAGGCTTGTTTTTAAAAAATACTTTGCTAACGATTTCAATATAATTGATTTCCTTTGTGATCCTATGTGTTTTATTTTATGCATTTAAAAACATTCTTCTGAGAAGGAGTCTATAGGTTTCATCCAATTTCCAAAAGGGTCCATAGAACAAAAAATGTTAAGGACCTCCTAATCTAGGAAAAAGAAAGAATTCCCTTTAAGAGCCACCTTTGAAGCCTGTGCCCCATCTTAAACAGTTGTCCTCAAAGTCCATCTATCTCTGGTTTGGGGGCACACTAATCCCCAGCAGGCCCTAGTCTCCAGGTCAGGGGTTTTACCTTTTGTATGTGTTCCTCTGGTATGGTTTTCTGGGGGGTGTTTATCTTGGCTTTTCTACTTTGTCCCTCTGGTATAGACATATCATGGCCCCTGTACCCACCCACCCCAACATTTCAGATGAGGAAACTGAGGCCCACAGAGATGATATGGCTTGTTCAAGGTCACACAGGTAGTAGAGGTCAAAGATGGGATTTGAAACCAGGTCTCTGATTCCTGAGACACTTTTCAGCCTAGATAGAAAAAGAACCTTAACCTAGACACAAGTGTTCTTCGCCTGGTCTGTGAGTTTATTTTTTGAAATATTTCCACATAACTAGTTTCCTTTGTAACCCTATATATTTGATTTTATGCATTAAAAACATCCTTCTGAGAATAATAACTCCAGCCACTGGTCATTTGTAAGTCACAAACCTACAATCTTTCTGATTTCTCCCAGACTGAAAGAAAAGCTAGGTTCCGGTTCATGGAGGCGCCTCCCATAACCAATGGCTTTACCCAAAAGAATCTTTAATGGATTCTGTGCTCAAATAATGTTTGTTACAACAAAAATATACCAAATGTACACAATACAAAAATATTTAGAAACAAACATTGCAGCTCGGGCTACCTCTCAACTATCAACTTTCTCTAGCCCTTGGAGGAGAAGGGAATCATCTGTTGGGCACTTTCATTTAAGGCAGAAATGGTATTGATGCTCTGGTTACCATGGGAAGCATCACTGGTGATATCCAAAATAGAAGAAATCCATAGGCCCCAGGAATCAACATTATTTGCAAACTAAATTGGGAGCTGAGAGAAAACTGTATTGGGTTTGGTGAATGATGACTTCGAGTTGTCTCTAGGTATTAACAATTCTTACAGAAAGCCAGCTGCAGGTCCTCACCAGCAGAGGAAGTGCCCTCGGCTGGTGGGTGGTTGTCCAAGCCTTGCTGCCTTTGTAAAAAGGCCTCATTAAGGAGCTTTCCCCAATTAAAATCCCAAATGATTAGTCGCATCATTTAAAACACATTTCTCCTTTGAAGGGTCTTCTCCTCCCTCTTCCAAGTACTGTGATTATTTTTCTATTTAACATGGGAATCCCACTGCCATTTTCGTATTCTCCATCCTTTGGATTCACATTAGACAAGACCCTCAAACCACCAGCCCCTGTCTTTCCCCAGGCCTTGTTCTAATCTAGACTGAAGATTTAATCCAGTTTCAGCACTTCCCTACCCACTTTTCCCAACCCAAGCCCTTGCCTTCAATATCAGATTAACTGGAGTAACGACACTGGGAAAGGGAAGGAAGAGGGAAAAAATTAAAAAGACATGAGTTGTTGACTGCCTGTTATAAGGGAGGGATTAAGGAATGAGTGGCTTTTAGGGGTAGCTTGGTGACATGAAGAGGAGAGAGTAGGTGCTGCAGGTTCTTGGCAAACCCCTCTTTCTACGGGCAACTGACCCTGAAATGAGAGTGGTTGGTGTTCTCGAGACATGTTGAAGGCAGAATACAACCAATGATACCTCTCATCTTGGCAGGGATTCCCAAGGCTGCCCAGTTCACCGAGTTCAACGTGCTCAGTCAAGATCTGAGAAGGCAGGATGGGGGATTAGACTTCTGCCCACATGTGACTCAACTTCCAAGGTCTCATGGACAACCTGCAGGGTTGGTTCAGTAAAAGGGCAGCTTGGTGGGAGGGAGGGAATCAATATCATGTGAGGATACCCTTCTCCAGAAAGCAAACAGCAGTCAATCATGGGCACCAGAGAGGGCAAGGAGGGTGGACTTGGGCATCTGAGGAAGGTAATGAGTGTGAACCACAAGGGGAAAGGGTGGCCAACATCTCATTCCTGGGAAAGTAGAGTTAACAAACTGATGTGTGTGTGTGTGTGTGTGTGTGTGTGTGTGTGTGTGTGTGTTTTCCACCCTCCAGTCCCCATCCCCCTTTATAGAATGAGCTCATGGATGAAGTTTAGAGCAAAGTGGACTGGCCTCAAGGGGCTTCTCAGCATCTCATCACCATCTCTTCACTAAGGGGATCAAGCAATCAGATTTCTTCCCCTCCCACCCACAGCTCTAGGGTTCAAGACTTGCAAGATTGCCCAAGCATAGCAGCCAGGACAATCCCTTAATGTGCAGAGAGAATTCTTGCAGGACCCGGCTGTTGGCTCTGTCTGCTCCTGCCCCTCTTCCCCAGGCAGAATGGAGGATGGAACCCAGGAGAGATGTAGAACAGAGAGGAGATCTCAGGAGCCCCTCTTTCCCTCTCCAAGCATACTCCTTAGCAATAAGCATCACATGCCAACCCTCTTGTGCCACCACGTTAACCCAAGTACCTATTTCCCAAAAGGGGAGAGCACCAGCGAGGGCAAAACCAAAGTACCCCTGGGGAATGAGGTAAGGGTGTGTGTTCATCTACACAGCTGAGATCAGTCAGCCCAGCCAAAAGATCTGGAAGCCCAGTCTCCAGTTGCTGCCAAAAGGCAAGCTGGCAGCACTCAGCTGTGTCCTTGGCATAGCCTGTGGGGTACTTTAGTGTGGGTTTTGGAGCTGACTATAGCTGCTCTGGTTGTTAGGACTCATGGGTGGAAAGGCTGGTGGAGAACTTCACTTTGGTCCTGGGCAGAAGCTACCTGGGAAGGGGATGGGACACCTCCAGGAAGCAACTAGGAGTTTCCCTGGTGTCCCAGTGGTACAGATTTTTTTTCCCCCAGTGAAAGCCCTGATTTGAATTCCTGGAAGCCCACCTTAAACCCACTGTCATGGGGATAAACCTAGATGCCCTTCCAGACAGCTCAACTCCAAGTGCCATAGAAAGGTAACTGCTACTCTGCCAACCTCCCGAGATTCTGTTTGGGCACATGACTAATCAAAAGCTCCTCCCTAGATCCAGCTGTCTGCCATTCTGAAGAATCAAAAAGCTGGGCCCCTCAGGGCTGGGCTGTTCAAAAGCTGTCTCTTGGCTGTCTGGCCAACTCCAGCAAATGGATGGAACGGTCAAATGGAACGGTCACAATGAACCCTCTGGAATAGGACCCATCTCTGCTCCAGGTAGATGGAGATTGATTCTTTTTGGAAGTGACTTCCCTTACCTCTCTGGGCCTAGGTTTCCTCCTCTGTAAACTGACCGAGTTGGGCTAAATGATCTCTTTTCTAGGTCTAATACTCTGATTCTACCACGAGATGCTAACATGTCTCACTGCAGTATTCAGTACACATCCAGAGCTCCTTCTTCCCACTTAACCAATATCCCTCCCATTGCAGCCTCTCATCTCTCAACGCGCTTCTACAGGGGTCTTAGTTTCTAGGACTACTGAACACTTCAAGGATGTAGGACTTTGCCAGGGGAGATCCTCCCTCCCCGGTGCCCTAGTTCGTCGTCATTTGTGAGGAGGTGCTGTGGCCAACCTGGTTAACATGCCTCTCCCAACAGATGTGGAGCCATCCTCAGCTGGATCCATGCTTGAAGCCTTCTTGGTTTGGTAGGACTGACCAGAGCTTGTGTTCCACAGGGACAGCTCTGTGGCACGATGGGACACAGGAGAAAGGATTTGCCTGTGTGACCTACATTGCTATGGAGATGAGACTCTCCAGCAGAAACCATCCAAAAGTGCCCCAGGCAGTAACGTGTTGAAATGGGCGCTTGCGGGAGAGGCTGGGATGGAGGGTCTCATCTTCATGGTGATGTGGATTATACCAAAGTTGACCCCAAAGCCTCAGTTTTTCTTCTCCCAGTCTCCCATTTCCCGGCAAAGTTCCCACCCAAAGGTCCCTAAAATGCAGCTCTTTTTTTTGGGGGGGTAATTACTACATCTCCAGAGGAAATTAAAAAATAGAATCTCAAAATCTGGACTCTGCTAAAAGGAAACCCAAGGGAAACTCCTCTCCCTTGTCTCAGTCTCCTCTATTCATAGAAAACCCTGGCATTTCAGAATTGGAAAGGACCTCTGGGAGATCTAGCCTGACCTGATTCAAAGAATACCCACTATAACATACCCAAGAGATGCTCCTCCAGCCTCTGCTCGAAGCCTTAAGGTGGGAACTCGTCACCTCCAAGGTGACTGTTCATTTTTTTTTTTTAACAATTCTAATGGTTAGGAAATTTTTCCTGGTCTCAGTCTTAAATTCCCCATTTTGTAACTTCCCTTATTGCCCCTAGCTCTGCCTTCAGGAGTCAAACAGAATGTCCAGGACCTCTTCCAGGTGACAACCCTTCAAATACATGGAGAGAACCATGATGTCCTCATGTCTTACCCTCTCCATGCTAAATGTCCCCAATTCCTTCAGTTTCGTTCTGCTGTTGTTTTTGTCGTGACCAACTCCTTCATGCCCGATTTGGGGCTTTCTTAGCAAGGGCACTGGAGTGGGTTGACATTTCCTTCTCCAGCTTATTTTTACACATGAGGAAACTGAGGCAAACAGGGTTAAGTGATTTGCCCAGGGTCATGCAACTAGTGAAGTGTCTGAAGCTAGATTTGAACTCAGGTCTTCCTGACCTGGTGCTCTATAGCATAGGCTCTTCACCATTCTGGCTGCTTTTCATCTTGCTCCCCCCACCCTCCCCTCCACTCTTCACACAGCTCAGAGGATCTCCAGTGAAGGCTGTGAAGTCATTGTTTCTGCTCTGGTTCACGCATCTGGCAGTATCACCAGAGGGAGGGGGATGGATGCAGTGGGAGGGTCCTTAGAGGAACACTGAAGCTTTTGTTAAGAGGATCAGCCCAACAGTCATCACTCTTTGCTCCCAATAGGCAACATCTCCTACCAATTCTTGTGTTCATGGATTGAGTGGGGGGTACAGGGTGGTGGTGGAGCTTGGCAGGGTACGGAGAAGACCCTAGGAATAAAGTTTAGGTAAGAAGGGAGCCAGGACATCAGGGAAAAATGTTGAATAGAGGGAAACCAAGCGGCAAAACCCAGGGATTGGGGTGGTATGACCAGAGAGCTATATGAGATTGTGTATTGGGAGGGTTGGTGCCAAGTGACATCCAAGGTACCCTGCGTTTATGTCCTCGTCTAGGCTTCTTTCAGGATAGGAACAGGCTCACCAGGAATGGGGTGATCAGTGGGTGGAGGGAGGGCTGGCCTGAGACTCTAATTCATCCTGGGAAGGCAGGTACTGGCCTTCTTCCTCCCTTCTGAATTGAGACCTTAGAGGAAAATAACACACACACCCCTCTTGTATGGGGACAACCCCCTACCTTGACTGGAGAATCCCACTTTTGTCAATTAATCCCACAGAATTATAGGAGCAAAGAATTAGAACTAGAGGGACTCTGGAAGCCGCTGAGTCCAACCCCCTTATTTTACAAGAGAGGAAACTGAGGCCCAAGGAACGTAAATGACTTGCTCAGGGTCACATAGAATTAGATTAGAATCCAGGTCTTCCCAACTGCAAGTCCATTGCTCTATCCACTGTAGGAAGGCTGCATGACCTCCCCTACTGGCTGTTCATTCAGCTCTGGTACAGCTGCTTTACAGAGGAAGTGCCCTTATCCCGCTGTCCCCTCCAGGTTTTAGCAGCATTAGGCACTGGGCCAGCTGTGTCATTTCAAGAGCTAGGCCTCTGCTCATCTCTTAGGATCACATTTGGTGGAGAGGGGGGCACTGTTCAGTTTTAGATTAGGGAGGGAGTAAGAAGTTAACTTGAATTCGCCCGGAACAAGCCCAGGCTACCCAGTCACATCCAGAATTCCCAACCCTGGGCCTAGTCTGGCAAGAACTAACTTTGCCTTCTTCATCTTTATAATGGCCTTTCAATGAATATCTTTGGCTAGCACTTTCCTTTGCAGCCCTTCCAATTCCATATACAAAAATAGAGCCACCAAGCATCGCGTTTCTTCCTTCACTCTCTAAACCAAGCTGGCGATGAAGAATAAATGAAAATGAAAATGCTCAAGAGTTTGATCTCCTTAGCAGCATCTCGAGGGGGCTCTTCATGGAGGAGGGGGCAGCCGGAGGTCCAATAAGCTGTAGGCAAAGACATTCCAGAAGACTGCAAACAACACGAAGACTGTATATATGGCCACGAAGATCCACCACAGGGACTGATCCTGGAGTCTCTGCTCATAGTTCCTTAAGACCACCACACCCAGGGTGATACCCACTGCCACGCCGCCCAGGTGGGCCACGAAGCTAGGGTGTGGGCACGGGGGGTACGCTGATGGGTGGAAGCGCAGCCAGACAGCCCTGCCAAACTCCATGCTCACTGCAAGGGGTGGGAGAAACAGAGAGGGGGCCAGGGTGGGTGATGGGACAAGGCAAGGTCATGGAAGAAAAAAGCTGGAAACATCAAAGGTCATCGAGTCCTCCCTCATTTTACAGATCTGGAAACTGAGGCCCAGAAAAGATAAGTGACTTGACCAAGGTCACACTGGTAGTGAGCAGTGGAGCCAGTACGCATAGAATCATAGAATTAACGTTGGAACAGACCCTAGGGAGCCCCATTTTGCAAGGACAGGTTAAGTGAGTTGCCCAGGGCCACACAACCAGTCTTAGGTGGGTTCTTTTGTCTCTAAATCATCCCAGTTCCCACTGGTCAGGAGAACAGGACCCCAGGCCTCATACCTCTGAGGTTATGCTATGGGCCACCACGATGAGTCTCTTCATCTACCTGGTTCTCAGTTTTCCCATCTCTAAAATGGATATTCACCTTTTAATTTGTAACCTATATTTCTGATATGTTCGACTCAGAAGAAATCCCTACGATGGGCATAATGATGGTGATAATGGTTTATGTACTTAATTTAAGCAGAACTGCACAGTGACCCAGGTCGGTAGAGAGTCTGGCTCACAGCGGTCCAACATAACGGTAATAATATCCCTTTCCTAGGGCATCCCGAACCGATTAAAATTAATTGGGAAAGATTTAGCAAAATAACAAAAAATAATAAAACACAGATAAAATTACATTTGAAAACTAAGCCCCCGGGGATCCTGATGTATGGATTAGCAGCCCTTGTTTCTGCTGGACTTAGAGCCCACTGCTCTAATGGATTTCTCAATTTGTCCCTTCTCTGGCCTCTTATCCTGTGACTCTAGATGTCACCTCTAGATGGCAGCACAACAACCATCAATTTCAGCCAAGCTCCGCACCCTAAGCTGCCCATTTCCCAGGGCACCCTAAGGCACAAAGAGGTCTAACGTGACAATGTCTTACCCTCAAACATCACTGGGTCTTTTATGAGTCTCAGGACTAGGCACTTTTTTTTTAAAAAGAAAGAAATCAGGGCTTGCACAGATTGCTTCCTTCCCTCCTCTCAAGGGAAAAAGAGAAAAGGTATTAGTACACATAAACTCATTTTATTATTATTATTATTTTTTAATCTGGTGCCCCTAGGGAAACAGATTTCTTATCTGGCTACAGATGCTGAAACAAGTCCCAGCTCTCTAGCTTTCCCCAAGACTGTGGGATCTCAGCCCTGAGCTAGTATTCTAAGCCTACTCATCTCTTATTAAAAGCTCTATGGGTAATCTTTCAGTTGGGGGAAGACCTTAGAAGTCATCTCCTCCAAACCTCCTCACTGGATGCATAGGGAAACCGAGGCCAAAAGAAGACCAAAAACATTGCCTAATAATGCATACTTCTTAGAATCCCAGGTTTAGCGCTTAGGGACACTGAAAAATTTAAGTGACTTGTCCAGGGTTGCTGGGTAAGTCATTATGTGTCAAAAGCAGTCCTTGAACCTAGGTCTTTCTGAGGCCACACTGATGAAATCATAGGTTTGAGGGACAGCTAGGTGGCATAGTGGATAGAGCATCGGCTCTGAAGTCAGGAGGACCTGAGTTTAAATCCGACCTCAGACCAATCACTTGACACTTACAAGCTGTGTGGCCCTGGTCAAGTCACTTAACCCCAATTGCCTAAAAAAAAATCATAGGTTTGATCCCTACCCCCCCCAAAAAAAATTCACGTTCAGTGCCTAGCACAGTGAAGTGCACACAGTAGGTACTTAATAAATGTTCCTTAAATTAATTTCTGTGCAGGGCTGAGCAGCTATTCCAAGTTAACTCCTAAAGTAGATTGGAAGTATGGTGCAGGGGGTGAAGGCAGAGCCTTCCTGCTGACCTTCTTCCTTATGCAGACTTCTCTTTCAACCAAGCAGAATGAGGCTGCCCCATTCACTGTCAGTGCCTACTCAATCCAGTCTGGGCTGCTATGATGATACCTCCTTCCTTGCCTCCCCATGTAGGAGGCAATGAGGAATCCTGGGAAATTCTCTTGACCTGAGTTTGAATCCCACCTCTGAGGATCACTAAATGTGTGACCATGGGCAAGTCACTTCACATCTCAATTTCCTTATCTATAAAATGGGGATTAAAAATGATTGTTTGTACATGTGTAGCCTATATCAGGTTGTATGCCATCTTGGGAAGGGGGAGAAAACTTAGAACTCAAAATCTTATAGAAGTGAATGTTGAAAACTAAAAACAAAATAAATTTTTAAATAAACTACATAACTGAAAGAAATGGGGATTAAAAATTGGAGTCCTTAATCTACCTCATGGGTTGCTATGAGGTTCCAGTGAGATACTGGGTATAAAGCATTTTGCAAACTTTAAGGGGTTAGGCAAATGGATACTTACTACAGATCAAGGCCACAGCCATCCTCAGCATCTTGAACTGACACTCCATTCCTGACCAGTTCTGGAGAAAAAAGAAAGACACCAAAATCAATTCCATGCCAAGAGCCTCCCTTTAAGAACTGAGTTGCTTTTCATAACAAGTGGAAACTAGGGTGATGCTCATCAATCGGGGAAAGACTGAAGAAGTTCCAGCATAAGAATGCGATGGAATACTCTTGTGCTATAAGAAATGATGAAGGGGATGGGTTCAGAGAAACCCCAGAAGATTTGTATGAACTGATGCAGAGTGAAGGGAGCAGAATCAGGAGAACAACTTATATGATTAAAATATTATTTTAAAAATTAATCCTTTTGGAAGATTTAAAGAACTCTGCTCCACTCCATGATCAACCATAATTCTGGAGCAGCAGCATGAAACATGCTGTCCCCCTTCTTCCAGAGAGGTGATAAACTCAAGATGCAGGAAGAGACAGACATTTTTGGACATGGTTATTGATGAAATTTGTTTTGATTGACTATGTGTATTTGTCACAGGGGTTTCGTTTTCCTATTTTCTTTTTCAATAAGAGGAGTGTGAGAGAGATAAGTGAATTTTTGCTCATGAAAAACAATTAATCAAAAAGAATTAAGCTATATAGGTTAATCTGATTATATATTTAAAAAGAAAAGCAAGCTGTGAACAATAGAGACTGGCAGTTTCATGTATAACCCTCTCCTGTTCTATTATGCATACCCAAATGCCTGTATTATTTGGTGTTTGTGGAGAATAAAAATAAAATTTTTAAAAGAACTGAGCTATAAAAACCAGTCCTTGCAAAGCAGATAAACCCTTTCCACCCAAGAGGGTAGAAAGCAGTGTTATTTACTTTCTAAGCTAATTCCCCATTAGCTTGTAAACTCCTAGAGAGCAGGGATTATTTCATCCTTTGTCTTTCTATCTCAGCACCTAGTACAGTGAATGGTGCTTAATAAATGCTTGTTGATCGATTTTATGCAAGGATTCCTAGCAGAGTTCTCTAAGGTAACTGCCACCCCCAGCACCCTCCTTCTCCAAGTGCATTTAAGATTCAATTTACAGAAACTCCAATTGCTTGGAAGCTTTTCAGTGGCACATCAATGGCATAAATCACAGAGGAATTGTTTGCTGCCTGCTCCAAATGCAGTTCAGTGGTAATTTTCAAGTTCCTTTTTGGGGGAGAACGAGTTAAATCCAGAGGCCCTTCCCACAAGGAGCCCAGTTCAGCCACAGGGGTAGGTATCTGTGCCAGGGAACACACAATGAATTCTACTGTGTAACAGATCTGCTCTCTAGTGAACAGCCTGTGGAGGGCAAATTGGTAAAAAGAGAAACCTTTAGGCATCTCCCTGTACCTCCCCTTTCCCATTATTTTTCACTGACCAGCAAACTGTTCTTTACAAAATGTGAGATGTAAGACACACGAATTCTGTTTAGAACAGAAAATCTAATCCCCAAATAGGGTTGCAATAACTTCTAAGAAGCAGATGGCTGGGGAGCGTCACTGGCTGGTTTGTGCCCCAAAGGGAAACCTCATGAGAGATCAGCAACGACAATGAAAAAAAAAGGAGCAAGGTTTTTCCCATTGGTTTTGACCAACACAATTCTATTTCTGTTGATTTTTCTAAGGGTACATTTTCTAGCCCGCCTGTTACCTATTAACATACAGCTAGAAGGGAATTGGAGGGTTCATCTAATCCAGGGGTGGGGAACCTGAGGCTACGAGACCACATGTGGACTTCTAGGTCCTTGGGTGTGGCCTTCTGACCGAATCCAAGTTTTACAGAACAAATGCTTTTATTAAGGGGATTTGTTCTGTGAAGTTGAGGACCTAGAGGGCCACATGAGGTCCCCACTCTTGATCTAGTCTAACTCCTTTCTGGAATCCCTTCTGAGATTTCCCCAATAGGGCACCATCTAACCTCTGTGGAGACACTCAGGGACGGGGGACCTCACTCCTTAAAAACTGCAGCCTTTTGGATCATTGGGAAGCTACATTTGTTACTAAGTCCTTCCCTCATATAAAGATGAAATCTGCCTCCCTGTTACTTTGTATAATCGAGGCATTTCAGAATTAGAAAGGCCCTCAGAAAGCATCTACTCCAACTCCAAACTGAAAAGGAATCCTCTCTACAATGGACTTGACAAGTGGTCATTCAGCCTTTCCTCAAAGACCTCTGATGACGGAGACCTCACTTCCTCCCATGGCAGCCTATTCCAATTTTGGATCACTTTCTTGGTTAGGAAGTTTTCCCTAACATCAAGCCTAGAATGGCCTCTCTGCCATTTCCCCCCAATGCTTCTGGTGCTGTACTCTACAGCCAAGCAGAACAAGGCTAACACTTCTGTATGACAGCCCTTCAAATATTCAAAGACAACTATTGAATGCCATTCAATCCAAACGCTTTGGACGAGCACAGGTCATGCTAGACTAACCTCATTTCCCCTTTTAGGAGAAATGGTGGAAAGATCAAGGAAATGCTTCCAGCCCTAGTCAAACCACATTGGGAAGGCATGTTGCAGGCATCACGTTTTTAGGAAAGACGTTTATGAAATAGAGCTTATCTATAAAAGGACAACCAAGATGGGAGGGTACTGAAAATCATATCACATGAGGACACTTTGAAGGAACTTGGGTTGATTAACCATGAGAAGACTTAGAGGAGACGTGATACTTGTCTTCCAGTGTGTGATAGGTTGTCCTGTGCAAGAGCGATTACACTTGTTCTAACTGATACCAGAGGACAGATCTAGGAGCAAACAGGAGAAGTGGCAGAGAGGCAGAATTCAGCTTGATATAAGAAAGCTTCCTAAGAATTAGAGCTATCCTCCAAAAGACGCATGATAGAAAACGCTATCCACATCCAGAGAAAGAACCACAGAGTATGAATGCAGATGAAAGCATACTATTTGCTCTCCTTTTCTTTTGTTGTTTTGTTTTGTTTCTTCTTTCTTATGGTTCCTCCCATTATTTCTAATTCTTCTTTACATCACGACTAATGTGAAAATATGTTCACTATGAATGTATAAGGAGAGCCTATATCACATTGTATACCATCTTGGGGAGGGGAAAGAAAAAGGAGGGGGAGAAAATTTAAAACTCAACATCTTATGGAAGTGAATGTTGAAAACTAAAAATAAATTAATTAATAATTTTAAAAAATTAGAGCTATCCCCAGGTGGATTCCCTTTCCCTGGAGTTCTTTAAGTGGAGACAGTCAGAGATGGTGTAGAAAGGATGGAATAGTAGATAGAGTGTTGTACTGGCAGGCAGGAAGAACTGAGGTCAAGTCTTGTCTCAAGACACTTACTGTCTGTGCTGTTTCACCCTGACCAAGTCACTTGCCCTTTACTAACCTCAGTTTCCTCATCTGTAAAATAGGTACAATAATAACATCTGTCTCCCAGGGTCATTATGAAGTTCAAATGCAATACCATCTAGAAAGTGCTTTACAAACCTGAAAGTGTGTATAAATGCTAACTATTATTATCAGGTTATGGGCTAATCTCTCACATATAACCTCAAAGATCCATTCTATCTCTTGGATTCTACAAGTCTACTAAGCAAGAAACTGGGCCAGGCCCTAGGACTACAAGGATGAAAAACATGGCCTCCAGCATTAAAGGACTTACAGTCTAATGGAGGGGCCATAACACCTGCATGAAGAAGCATGATGTGGGATCGTTGTTGTCATTAAGTCATTTCAGTCATGTCTGACTCTCCATGACTCCATCTGGGGTTTTCTTGGAAGAGATATTGGAATGCTTTGCCATTTCTTTCTCCAGCTCATTTTACAGATGAGGAAACTGAGACAACAGTCCTAAATGACTTGCCCATGGTCACACAGCTAGTAGGTGTCTCAGGATGGATTTGGATTCAGGTCTTCCTGATTCCAGGGCTGGCACTCTACCCACTGTGCCACCAGCTGCCTGTGATATGGGATGGAATGAGATAAAAATAAAGGAGAGATTCCAAAAGAATGTCTGAGTAGAGAGAATACTTCCACTGTGGAAGTCATGGAAACTTTCATGGAAGAAGTGGACCCTGAGCTGGATTTGAAGAGAAGGATTTTAATTTTTAGGCAATTGGGGTTAAGTGACTTGCCCAGGGTCACACAGCTAGTAACTGTGAAGTGTCTGGTCTGAGGTCAGATTTGAACCCAGGTCCTCCTGACTTCAGGGCTGTGTGCTCTATCCATTGCTCCACTTAGCTGCCCCTTGAAGAGAAGGATTTTGATTGGTAAGGATGAGGAGGGAGGGAGTTTTCAACATGGAGAAATAACTCTGAGAACACCAGGAGGCAATGCAGAGATAGCACAGACCCAGATGAAGGAACAGCTGGTTAGCCCAGTTGAATATGTGAAGGAGAGAAGAGTAAATTACGGCTAGGAAAGGCAGGCAGGCGTGACCCAGGAGTGTTAACCTAGGCTCTTGTTTCCAGTTTTCAAGAGGAGTCCCTGGCTAGAATTACAGCCATTCGCTCTCCCTCAAATATCTCTCTGGCTTAAGGGTAGGAGTCTGGGTTCAAAATGAAAGTTGCTTCCCTGGTGGCTTCATAGGGAGGGCAGGCCTTGCGTTACACTCACCAGGGTAGCTCCTTCCCACCAAATGCTGGGGACACAAAAGTCTACCACAAATAGATAATAATACCAAGTAAGCCCTTTTAGCCAAGCAAACAGCAAACAGAAATCACAGAAGTTATACACATTAGAATATACCAAAGAATATTCAAGAATAAATGATCCTTTTAGCTGGGAGAGAGATGGGATCTCTGCTCAAACAAGAGAGGGTCTGAGCTGTCAAAGAAGTACATCTTGTGGTCTCTAGGGAGGCAGGCTGGAAATCGGAGATATGTTTACAAGCCAGCTTTCCCTACATATCTGCTGCTTCTCTCTAAACCTGTGTCTCTGCCCATGGGTCGATGGAAACCCATGTATCTGTCTGCCAAGAAGCTTGGGCACCAATTCCATTCCTCAAACAGGTATGAGGTATGTCACCTCTGCATTCTCCCTGCCATATAGGAGTGACACCTCACTTCATGGCAGTAGCAATTCACAAAATACTCCAAGAATGGAAATCTGGGTCTCTCTCTCTCTCTCTCTCTCTCTCTCTCTCTCTCTCTCACATACAGACACACATACATACACACACACACATGTGTGTGTATATGCATAATGCAACACATACACATGTATACACATAGATATGTAGATACATGTGTGTATTTGTTTCCACATACACACATGCATACATGCATACATACGTACATACATACGTATGTACTAGATGATCCCTGGGGTGTCTTTTAGTCCTACGAGTCTAATATCTATTTAATTCATTGAATCAGAATTTTTAGGCTTGGAAGAGATCTTAGAAGCCATCTTGTCTAAAGCCCCCATTTTTATAGGTGAGGAGGGTGGGGCTCAGAGACATGACATGACACCCCTGCAGTGAGTTAAGGGCAGCATCAGGCCAGAACCAGGTCTCCCAACTCCCAGTCCCTCACACCGCCTTCTCCAACGTATGTTCACAGTCTGAGAGCGAACACAACTCATCATCTTGGCCTTTTTTCTTTTTGGCTCTGGTTTCTCTCTCCCCACCCCCACTCCAACCCCAAAGCAAATATTTTATAGGCCATCAGCTAATCCCAATAGCAGTCAGGGGGTGAAAGTATAATGTCACCCTTTTTCTTCCAGCTGTCTCATTTTCTAGGACCATTATTCCCGCCAATAAAATTAGCACAGCGAAACAACATGAGAGGAAAAAAAAATCACACTCATACTCTGAATGCTGCCTCTATAAATGTTCAAAAGCCTCAGGGCCCTTGAGGAATTAAATTAAAAAAAAAACCCTTTGAAACCTTTTAATTCAATTCTCTCCCAGGTTCCAGTCTAGGGAAAAGGTAACTACCACCATGTCAACCTTGCTTCTACAACATCCTTGACAGATGGTCGTGCAAACCTTTACTTGAATACTTCCATGGTTATGAAGCTCACTCTACTATGAAGCATCCCATCCCACTACTGGACAATTGCACAGCAATTGATTCACTAATTCACTAATCATGAATACGGGCATCGTTGTCACTTAAGCATCAAAATCTCAGCCACAGAGACCCGTGTGTGGGAAATTTATAGTCCAAAGCAAGTTGGCATTCTACTTTTAAATGGTTTCCTGTTACATATAAAGTCTGTTTCACCTTGAGAAAATCTAGTAAGTGAACAAGAATCCAAACTTATTGACACATAAATTAAGGTGAAATTATTTGTATTATAAAAAGACATTAAAATAAAAAGGAGTCAGAGTTTTGCTACTTACTAGGTGGCACAGTGGATAGAGCACTGGGCCTGGTGTCAGGAAGACTCATCTTCCTGAGTTCAAATCTGGCCTCAGACCTGTACTAGTTGTATGACCCTGGGCAAGTCACTTAACCCTGTTTGCCTCAGTTTTATCATCTGTCAAATGAGCTGGAGAAGGAAATGGCAAACCACTCTAGTAGCTTTGCCAAGAAAACCCAAATGGGGTCATGAAGAGTCAGACACAGCTGAAAAATGATGAACAACAACAAATTATTCTTTACTGTCCCATATTAAGTTCAAATTTATAGCCATTTATATTATATATATGTATACTATATCCACGTATGTGCACATATACATGTACTCACAGGTAGACAACATTTGTTATAATAGATATGTTCCTAATAATTATGTTATCTGAATTTTTGCAAATTGGAAGAAATGCTAGATTTGGAATCAGAGAACCTGAGTTCAAATCCTACCCATGCTATTGGCTACCTGTGTAACCTCAAAAAGTCATTTAACTCCTCCAGGCCTCAGTTCTCTTATCTGTTGAATGAGGAGATAAGTCCTAATGGTCTTGTCCAACTATGAAGTATGTGAACCTGTGTTTTAAAATTAAATCACAAAAGAATAAAGGAACTCATGGCCTAAAAGAAATTAAGAGGTGATTCATAAACTTTAGAGTCGAAGGAAACCTCAAAGGCCATTTAGCACAACTCTCCCATTTTACAGAGGAGGACACTGAAGCAAACAGGGTTAAGTGACTTGCCCAGGGTCACACAGCTAGGAAGTGTCAGAGGCCGAATTTGAACTCAGGAAGACCTGGCACTCAATCCACTATGGCGCCACCTAGCTTCTCAAAGCATAATTAGGAAACCAATGAGTCACATTTCTGTTTTCCACTTTGATTTTTTGAAGCTAATTCTTTGTCTTAAATAAAGAATCTGGTTACTTATTGGCCCTTGGGAAATGAAGTGATTTCTGAGTCTAGTTTCCTGGCATGAATTTCCAAGGCTTCTAACATTTAAACCTATTTACAATTAGCTGTATGGACTTGGGAAAATCATTTAACCTTTCTGGACCTCCATCTTTTCATCTGAAAAGTGAGGGGACTGGACTTAGAGGGGCCTCTAAGGTCTTACATAGCTCTAAAGTTGTGTGTTCTATAATAAATAAACACATTCGTTTCAAGGCAGAGCCTCTTACTTAAACAATTAGCCTTGGGAATAGAAATGTAAACACATTTATTATGTTTCTATAGGTGTGATCAGTAAATTTTCTAATTTTCTTCCCCGTATGGCTACCAGTTGTAGTTTGTAAAGATTACACATTTTGAAAAACATTCACACAAGATGAACTGAAAACAAATTTTCGGTTGTTTGGGCTGAAAATGACTCAATGTCTAGCTCCCTGCTCAACACAGAACTAACGTGGGCATAGGAAAAAGCAAAACTGGCTGCCAACAAGGAGAAAACCAAACTAGCTGGGTCAGAAAATGCGTTGTTTTGTCCCAGCAGGATGCAGACAACTTTGTGAGAAGGCCGACCCCGGTGTCTCACTCAGGGAGGAGCAGAATACGCTGAGGGAAATCTTTTGGCTTCAGATGGGTGCCTCTGCCAGACCTCACTGGATGCAGCTATTCAGCTCATTAGCCCAGGAAGACCAGCAGGCAGACAGGCTCCTCCTTCCTCCCTCCTCTCCCCAGGGAATACTCCTGGGGGCTGGGGGCTGGGAGCTCTAAGCGACTCACCAGGCTCAGCTGTCCTCCCAGAGTCTCTCCATGAATCATTGTTTCCTAAAGGGGGATGGGTGTCAGGATGGGCGGAGAAGAGAGGGGAGGGATAGCTTCCTCTTGCTTGTTTGTTTTTAATTTTCCATGTGTCTTTTTATTCCCTGTTCTTTCATTCCCACACGCATGCTCACATGCTCCCCAGGGGATGTAGGTACCTCCTTTGATTACTGAAAGGAATGTGTGTAGTTTGGGGAAGAAAGTAGGGACTGGTGGGGTGGAAAGAGGAGGGAGGGGAAGGCAAAGGAAAGAGGAAGGAATTCAGATAAAACTTGGGCTGGGAAAAAAAAAAGAGGACACTCAGAGTGAAGGACCTATTTCAAATGTCCCCCATTGTAAGCCACATTGTACTATGAAAGTTTTCAGGGACTGCCCTGTGTTTGTTCTACAGAGTGTAGAGCTAAGCGGATGTTCACAGAGGCCCTGAATCCATCCAAGGAGCAAGGACAGCCTGGCTCCTCCTCTTTTCTTTTTGGGGAGGGGCAGCGAGGGGGGAAGGTCATTGTACAAAAGGGACTTGGTTGGATGGCTGGAGAGTAAATGAGCCAGAATTTGGAGGGGTGGGAGACAAGAGCGGAGTAGATGAGAATAATTAGGGCAAGAAACCTGGGGAAAGTGTTGAGGAAGCTCCCAGAGTCCTGGGCTTAGTGGGTGACAGGGGATAATAAGCAAGTCTGACCAATGATATCAACAGCTACATGGAGAGACAGAGAGGAAAAGAGGCAGAAAGACAGACAGATATAATAAAGAAGGAAAGAGGGAAAAGAGGGGAGGGGGAGAGAAAGAGAGATCAGAGACAGAGACAGAGACAGAGAGGCAAAGAGGCAGAAAGACAGACAGACAATAAAGAAGGAAAGAGGGAAAAGGGGGCAGAGGGAGGGAGAGAGAGAGAGAAAGATTGAGACAGACAGAAAAAGAGAGAGACAGAGAGACATGCACTTTACACAGGTTAGGTTCCTCTAGGGGCTTGGTGTTAAGTGGTGACTGGAATGGACATGGGGGTGAGTACTGCTACAGTCCTGGCACCAACACAAGAATAACAGATGATGGAAATGTTCAGTTTGTGTGTGTGTGTGTGTGTGTGTGTGTTCATTAAGTCCAAAATGGTTTAAAAAAGAAATATATATATTTTTTGGCTAGGCAATGGGGTTAAATGACTTGCCCAGGGTCCCACAGCTAGTTAAGTGTTATACGTCTGAGGCCGGATTTGAACTCAGGTCCTCCTGAATCCAGGGCCATTGTAAAAAGAAATATTTTTAAAGGAAAAAGAATAATATGTTCAATTGTGCTTGAGAACCCTGGGGAAAGTGGGAACAGGTGGGCAGGAAGTAGGTTAGGGTAGGAGGGTGCTTACCATCACAATGTTGGCCAGGTGGGCAGAGACGAGTGCATACACCCCTCCAGAGGAGCCAACTACTGGTGCAGTCATGTCGGCCACGGACACTGCCAAAGAACCTGTTGTGGGAAAGACATTGGAGATTCTTAGACTTGCCTTCCTTCAGCCATACCGTCCTCACCGGCACTGATGGTCCACGGTTGCTGATGAACCTATTCAATGGGACAAGACTCCAGTGACTTTGAACTCAATCTTCTGGGCAAGCTCAGGGGAAGGAAAAGGCTTTATGCTTCCACCTGCATTTGCATCAACCTGATAAATTATTCACTGGATCCATGCACATTTTCCATCTCATGGCACTCTCTCCAACTTCACAGAATCATAGAATTTCAGAGTTGAAAAGGACCTCAGAGATCAGATAATTCAACCCATTGCCAAAAAAGAATCATAACATCCCTCACAAGTGGTCATCCCATCCAGTCACTGATTAAATCCTCCAGAGGGAGGAGACCCACACTTACCAAGGTTGCCCATTCCACTTTAACTGTCGGGAAGTTCTTCCTGACATCGGGCCTAAATCTGCCTCTTCATCTTCTGCCCTTTGCCCCTTGTTCCTTCCTCAGGGGCCCCAAAGCAAAAATCTAACTCCCCCCAACACACACACACACACACACACACACACATATGATGGCCTTTCAAATACTTAAAGAGAGTGATCATGTCTCCCCATACCCCTTCAGGCTTCTCCTCTCCAGGATAAACATTCCCCGTTCATCTGGGAAACACCCCGGCAGCTTGGAGTCAAAAAGAATACAGCCCTGGACCTGAAGTCAGGAAGACCTGAGTTCAAATCTGGCCTCAGACACTTACTAGCTGTGGGACCCTGGGCAAGTCACTTAACCTTTGTATGCTTCAGTTTCTTTAACTGTAAAATGGGAAATATAATATATACCTCACAGGACTGTTGTGATCATTAAATGAGATATTGGTAAAGCACTTAGCACAGTTGTCTGACACTTAGGAAATGCTTGCTTCCTTCCTTCCTCCCTTGCTTCGTTCCATTTCCTCCAACTGAAATTCGGATGGCATGGATTCATGTTTATTGAACTGAATTGAACTGACCATCCTCTCTGCTTTCCTCCAGACACTGTCCAGCTTTTAAGTGGCTTCTTTAGACTGTGCAGCCCAGAATCAGTCTTCCAGACGGAGCCTAACCAGGCACAGTGAGATGACCATCTCATTATTCCTAGACACCATGCTTCCCCTATCACAGTCCTCTCTCTCTAGCTCCCTTTGTCCTTCTATCCTTTCCTACACTAAGTAGTGGGCAGCTAGGTGGCAAAGAGGAGAATGTGCTAGGCCTGGAGTTAGGAAGACTCATCTTTGTGGGTTCAAATCCAGCCTCAGCCACTCACTAGCTGTGTGACCCTGGGCAAGTCACTTACCCTGTTTACCTCAGTTTCCTTATCTGTAAAATGAGCTGGAGAAGCAAATGGCAAATCACTTGAGTATCTTTGTCAAGAAAGCCCCACATGGGGTCAAGAAGAGTTGGAAATGACTGAACAACACTAAGCTGTGAGAGCACCAAAATTATCAACCACCTTAAAGTCCAACCAAGAAATGTAGACAAGAATACAACCCAGAGGGGCCAGTATTTCTTCCATCTTCTTTAAATGTACTACCTGATTCCTTATGAGACAATGTGGAGTATGGTGGAAGGAGGACTAGATGGAGAGTCACAGGAGTAGACTTCAAATGCATTGCGCCATTTCCCTGTGCAACCTTGGGAGATTCACTTCCCTTCTTTGCTAAATAAGGTGGTTGGAATAGATGATCACAAAGCCCCTTCCAGGTCATGATCCTCTCCTACACTTCTTGTAGACCTCGACTCTTCCTGGTGAGGGCAGTTCTAGCTGCTGTTCGAGTTTCATAGATGACCCCCTCTCTCTTCCCTTAGGCCAGGCCTGGAAATAAAACTGGACCAGGAATCCCACCTCTGACACTTGGGTGATCTTGCAGAAGTCACTTGTAACCTCCTTGGGCCTCAGTTTCCTCATCTGTAAAGTGAAGTAGTTAGACTAAATGGCCTTTAAGGCCCCTTCCAGCTCTATATCTACAATCCGATGGTCAGAACTGGGTCTGCGTTTTAGTTCTACTACTGACCAATGGGTCTTGGGCACATGACTTCTCCCTTTTGGATCTCAATTCCCTCATCTGTACAGTTGTAGAGGGGGGTCATGGACTGCCTGGAGAAGGAAATGGCAAACCAGTCAGTATCTTTGCCAAGAAAACTCCATGGGCACCAATGGCGTGCTATGATCCAGGGGGTCACGAAGAGTCGGACACGACTGAATTATTGGGCAATAACCATGTCCTTCCAGCTCAAAGACAGCATCAGAGCCAGCTGCCTTGAAACCTCACTATAAGTGAGTGAGTGTGTCAGCCAGCAAGCATATGTTAGCACTTCCCAGCGATCAGTGGAGACAGCTGTGGCAGAATAGGTCGAGCTGGCCCCAGCGCCAGGAAGAGCTGGCTTCCAGTCTGCCTTTGACACATACCAGCTTTCTGACCCTGGGCAAGTCAGTATCTTAGGTCATTGTCTAAGACTCTAGGTTTCAAAGAAGGGGCCAAACTGACATTGGTAGAGAGTTCCGTCATCTGGGAGTTCCTTATGCCAGTGAAGTCCTAGTCCCACTCATTGTCCCTTTGTGCCAGGCACTGTGCTAAGCACTAAGGGTACACGTAGAAAAGAGGAAACAAAACCCCCTATTCGAATAAGAGCATCTCCTTGTCTTGGTCCAGGCAAACTTCTCAGAAATACCAATTCCCACAGGTGGCCTGAGCTCAGACGAAAGGAAGTTCCTCCTTGTCTTTTAAATGGGTAAGAGCAGGGCAGGCGTTTGAGTTTGAATGTTGAGCGATAATAAAAATAACTCATATTTCTATGGCACTTTCAGGCAAAACACTCTCCTCACCACACCTCTGTGGGGTGGGTGGGTAATGCAAGTCCCCATTCTACAGATGAAAAAGCCAAGGTTAAGTTACTTGCCTTTTATTACACAGCTAAGGAAGGATTTGCATCCATACCTTGGACTCCAGAATTCTAGCTACTCCACAACTCTGTCTCTCCTATATCTCAGACCACCCATCTTTTGGGAGGCAGTATGGTATAATGGATAGAGTCAGGAAGACCTGGGTTCAAGTCCTGTGTCAGATACTTACTGGCTGTGTGATTGTAGGCAAATCTGAGCCTCAATTTCCTTTTCTGTAAAATGAGAGATTTTGACAAGATAGCCTCTGAGGTCACTTCCAGCTCTGAAATCCATGATCCAGTATAATCATAGGGTCTGTGAAATGGGAGTAGTTCTTTTTTATAAGGCAGCTAGGTGCCCAGAGCACTAGACCTGGAGTCAGGGAGACCTGAGTTTAAATCCAGCCTCAGACACTTACTGGCTGTATGATTCTGGTCAAGCTACTTAGCCTCTCTCAGTCTCAGTTTGCTCATCTGTAAAATGGGGTTAATAACAGCACCTACCTCCAAGGGTGGTTGTTAAGATCAAATGAGATAATATTTGTAAAATGCTTAGCACAGAGCCTGGCACACAGTAGACACTTAATAAATGCTATTTTTCCTTCCTTCTTGCATTTGGAGCAATTTTGTACAATTGACTGACCCCCTTTTTTCCCTTCACCCCCATCTCTTCCCCCCTTTTCCCTCTGCAAGAACTTGGAAACCCCAACTGCTTTAGCTGCTGCCTCCTTCTCTTCTCCCCCTCCCTCCCAAACCTGCCCCACTAGAGCAGAGTTAAATGAAAAAAGGCTAACAGATTTCTTCTAGGTCGGGGGGAAAGGAAAGCACTGACGAGAGAGGCCTGGTGCCATCTCTGGAGGAGAGGAAAACTGATGAAACCAGGTCCAAAGAAGGCAAACCTCGGGCCTGGGTGGAAAGAGGCTCCAGAGAGAGGTGGTTAATTTATTGTCCTCTCCCCTGTTAAGTGTGATCAATGACCAGGGCTTCCTGAGAAGGGCACAGGAGGCTAAAAATAGCTAGGAGAGACAGCCCAGGGGCTCAGAGAAGCTGCAGGGGAGATGAGCAGTGACTGGCTAGGTAGGCCATGGTGAGTGTGCAGAAATTTCCACAGGAAAAATGCCCTCAGGCTCATCAGCCCTTTCTTTACTAGATGATGGAGACAGAGAGAAAAGGGTGGCAGAGACCCGGCCCTCTTGGCTAGATACTTTTCAGGGCTGACTGGAGGGGCTCATTATTGGGGATGACCTTGCCAAGTAAGACACTGGGCAGCTAGGTGACTTCGTGGATGGGTTTGGGAGTCAGGAAGACTGAGTTTGAATCTTGCCTCAGACACTTACTTAGGTGTGTGACCCTAAACAAGTCACTTAACCCTTCTCTGTCTCTGCGCTGTTGTTTTGTCATTTTTCAGTCATGTCTGACTCTTCATGACCCCTTTTTGGGGTTTTCTTAGCAAAGATACTGAAGTGGTTTGCCATTCCCTTCTCTAGGTTATGAGGAAACTAAAGCGAGCAGGGTTAATTGACTTGCCTAGGGTCACACAGCTAATAAGTGTCTGAGGCTGGATTTGAACTCAGTTCTTCCAGACAACAGACTTGGCACTGGGCATAATAAAAGCACCTACTTCCCAGAGTTGTTGCAAAGATCAAGCAAGATCATTTGTGGGGGCAGCTAGGTGGTGCAGTGAAGAGAGCTCTGGCCTTGGAGTCAGGAGGACCTGAGTTCAAATCCAGCCTCAGACACTTAACACTTACTAGCTGTGTGACCTTGGGCAAGTCACTTAACCCTGATTGCCTCATCAAAAAAAAGAAGATAATATTTGTTAAGCTCTTTGCAAACCTTACAATGCTAATACGTGGCAGCCATTAGCTTTTTTAGGTCCCTGAGCCAGGAGGGTCTTAGAAAGGTAATCAAAAGGCAGTAAGTGTGTAGTGGAAGGAACCTTGAACTTGGAGCCAAAAAAGACTTGGGTTTGAATCCCAGCTCCAGCAACCTTAGGTAAGTGACTTCACCTCTCAGCCTCAGTTTCCTCTGCAACATAGGGATAAAGACAAGAGAGCTGGTCTTAAGCTAGGAAGACCTGGGTTCGAG